CATCCCCATATGCAAGTGTTTGGGTCTTAGGAGTTTAAAGACAAGTGCAAATCCAAAGCTGTGTGTTGATGTTGTTTCACAGAGATTGGATCTGCAGCAGCCAACACGTCTAACTTGTTAACGCACTTGAAATGACATCATTCAAATGTGAATGTAGTTTGGTTCAAAGACTAATAACAGCAGCATTTAAACAACCTTTATCAGGTAATTCAGATTGGTCCAAAGCAATAACACAAGATGTAGGAGTTTTTAAAGCTGTGGATCTACCTGTACATCTGTATTCTGTTGTTGATGCACCGGCTTTAAGCATAAAGTTCTTGAGCCCTGCAGCCTACGACATCCCATCACGTCAACACTTCAGCCAAAAAGTTGTAGCAGCACTTTATGAAAAAGCTAAAACTGATATTGTCAACAAGGCCGACCCCAGATTTAAAACCCTGCCACATCGATGATGAGCGAGAGAGAATATTCAACCACCTCATATGATGGCCGTGCAAGAAGAGATATTGTATTATTGTGATCCAATTAACTTTTTAATTTAAAATTATAATCTTATGAACTCTTTTTTTATCTCTGTTGTGTGCAATCTGAGGATAACAGCAGCTGAGTCTTCTTCATCCACCAGATCACCTCCAGCTAAGAAGTCTGTAATGACTGAACTCGTTTACTTGGCATATTTTCAAAACAAACATTCTGCAAGTCTTTATTTTGGCCTTTTTTGTACCGAAAATTAACCGAACTGAGCCCTCCTCAAAACCGAACCAAACCGAAATGTGATTTTAGCGTACCATTACACCCCTAGTAGCCAGGAAGACTTTTACTCCTCAGCCAGTGAAAAACTGCAGGGTTCTGCTCTGACAGCAATAAATCTGGAGGTAACTCCTTATCAGATTGTGCGTCACCGGGACCGTTCTTGCATCTTAGCTCCAAAGAATAAAAAAAAAATAAAAAAAGCCGCCCACTATTAGAAGCCATTTTTAGTGTGTGACAAGTTTTTTTGCAACGTGAAAGGGGGACAAGCTATAATATAGTTGGAGAACAGTGAAACTCTTGCCAAATCACGTCAAAAAATGTCACTTGTCTCCTTTAGTTCATCCGTGTGTGTGAGATTATAAAGAGGATTAGAGAGATTGGTGTTGTAGCCTGCCTGTGGCTGACAGTGGAGCTTTTGACAAACAGCACCATGATATTTCTTCAGCACAATGCGAGTCCTGTACTGGCAAATCAAGAGGCTGTGGAGCCTTTAACCCCCCCAGACTCCTTCAAAAACTTCAGACGAACTGTTTTTGATGTCTTCCGATAAAAGCGTTTAAGAAGAGTCTACGCAGACAGAAGGCAAGTTCAACTATTGTGTATATTTTTTTTAAAAAGAGAGAAGTCAAGATTCTGGAATGTTACAAGATGAATTAAATTTAGCATTAAAACTTGTTGCCAGATAATATTTACAACATATTTTACCACATGGACAGCAGATTTGACACACCTGTGACTTTAAGGCTGACTGACAGGAGTGCAGGTGCTAGCTGTTGCAATGTGTGCAAATTAGTGTCTATATAAAGCCATCTAGATCTGAACAGAAACACCAAACTCAAGGTTCATCTTAGGTTAAGGCTTAGATGTAACTGGTTTTGAACACAGAAAAAAAAATAAAAAAATCCAAACACATAAAGGGCTGTGTTACACCTCACAATTAGATCTGTTGTGAACTCTTTAGCATAATTAGATTAATCATATATGCATGATGCTTACATCACCACAAAGCCTCCAGATTTTGCTTCTTTTCAGAAAGGCAACACATTCTATTCACAGGAGGTAGCTTAGTTGGCTGTTCGGGACAGTTTTGTGTAAGAAGCATCGATTATGCGCAGCTGTGCCCATCACATCCACCTGCGCGCGCATGCGTCCTCACTGCTGGCTGTATTTCCCTTTGCAATGCAAAATGTGTTTGTGCAAGCGATCGATTCTGTCCTGAAGGAGCGCCGCGTGCTCGTCTGAGAGAAACCCTAACTCCTGCGCCAAGGGCTCGCTGTCCGTGTAGAGCCGCAGCAGCCTGCGCTCGGAGTCTCTGCGCGCGTGCAGCTCCGCCACGCGCTGCGCCGTCCTCCTCCTGAACAGGCACACGGAGCTCAGCACCGAGCTGTGGTACCGCTCCCACATGTCCAGCACCCGGAAGCCGTGCACGAGCCCGGCCTCGTTGTCTATGAACACAAGGTCACCGCGGGGTGTCCTCAGCAGGTTGTTCGTGTCCCGCTCCATGACGCGCGAGTCCCACTGCAGGCTGAACAAGTTGCTCACGAGCCTGTCGAAGTTCGCCGTCAGGTAGTCGAACAGGATCAGGTCGCTCCACTGCGCGAGCTCCACGAGCTCCGCCGCGCTCCTGTTCCCGAGCCCGTCCAGCGCAGGATGCAGCCCGCTGCTCTCCTGCCTGAGCGGCGCGGGCGTCACGACCCCGGTCAGGTTCGAGACCCACTCGGTGAGGGAAACCACGGCCCCGTCGCTCCACTGCAGCCCGCTGACGCGCGCCCTCACCGCCGCCCACTGCGCACTGTCCCCGTGGAGCTGGGACAGCGCGAGCGGAGGCACATTCGTGATGCCCAGCAAACTGCTGAGGTAATATGTCAAAGTTTCCCCTTGCACCTGGTCCGCGTTGATCCCATAGCGCACGCACGCTTTAGTCCCGTCGGCAAACGTGGCCATCTGATTGGACCTCCTGCCGCATCCAGGCTCCAGCTTCACCACGCGCGATGTCCTCGCCTTCCGCCTCCAGCTCCGCGCCTGCTCCTCCGTGAACCCCACAGGGAGGAGATCTTCCAACCAGTCGCTCCAGAACACGCCGCTGTCCACGGGGGAGCCGAACCTGACCGGCCCCTCCCGCTGCTCTGACCTCTTCTTGTCCCCTTTCACGTGATAATCCCGAGTCCCGGCGGGGGCAGCAGGCTGGCTGAGGTTGTCGGCTTTAAATCTGCCCCCCAGGAAGTGTCTTTGTGCGGCCGGAACGGCAAGCAGAGCTCTGAAAGTTTTCGCGGACAGGTCCTCTGAGAGACCTTGGTGGAAGGAGCCTCCGCCCGGTCCCGACAACCTCCGCTTGTGTCGCTCCAAACGGCTCTCCAGCGCGCGCCACACAGAGAACACACTGAGCAGCGCGCACATCAGCAGCAAAGCGAACAAGTTGGCTGAAAGAGTCCTCATGGTGGGTTTAACCCCCTTCAGGGAGCAGGTTTTAATCAAACATGGAGAGAAGCTGCTTTCTTCAGCCCGCAGCTGAAGCCTCGACGCACGGCTGCGCGCGGCTGGACAGATCACAGGGAGAGGAGGCGCTCCGGTTCTGCGTGGCGCTCATGTCCCGTCCGGCCCGGATGCGTTTCAAAACGGAACAATTCAGACGGATGAGACCGTCGCAGGGGCTCCCCGCTTCTCATCTCCCTCCCTCCGTTGACTGGGTTTGATTTGTGCTGGTGTCGGCTCGCGGAGAGACGCTAGGCGGTGAGGCACGTGACTCCTGCCGGAGGAGGTGGGCGGGTCGTGGGGAGGAGGGCTCAGAGAGGAGCGGAGCAAGTGCACCGCACCGCGTTGTACGCGTGCGTTTGTGATGAGGCCAAAGGATTGGGAGGTATTTAAACACGCACCCTCCATTATGATGATTAATGTGTGGAGCAGATGCAGCTTGGTTTGGATTTAATCTCAGTTTTAGTAAATTAAAGTCCCCTGCATCCAAATGTCCACTGGAATCAAACGTATTCAATCATTTTAGATAAGAACAAAAAACTAATCCTCTTCACTGTTGTGATTATGCATAAAAATATTTTTGTGTTTAGTGATGCCATATTTTTGTTGGCTGTTTATTTTTTATTTTTTTTCTCTGCAGTTCAACCCACTAAACTTAAAAAAAGTCTGGACCACCAGCATCCCAACACAGAAAACTCATTCTGAACATGCAGCACAACAAGAACAGTGACCCAAATGGAGGCCAGCAGGCCAGATCTGGCCCGCAGGGGGTGGGTGAGGAACAGGGACTTTAATTATAGTAGACTCAGACCAGAACCAGAGGTTCAAGCTGGACGGGGATCAGCTACTGGTTCCAGTACAAGTGATCCCTGCAGTAACTAAACAACAATCGTCAAATTTCTTCATGAGAAGTTTGCTTTGACCCTTGACGAAGGGAGCAGCCAAAAGGAAAACGACTAATAAAACCCTCAATCTATTATTTTGCACAGTCCAGAAATCACATTTATAATTTGTTTCTGATCCATGTGCACATTTGTATTCAATATCTTCAGTTTCCCTCTAAATAATCTAAAGGGTAAGTTTCACCTAATCACTGTAGCTCTCTAACACATTCCAACAACCTCAGCAGATGTGTAATTTCACTCATAAACAGGCTATTTGACAAAATGCTCCATTTTAGTAATTCAGCATAGTCACTACCTCGGTCTACACTGCCTGGCCCCCAAAAAAGTCGCCACCAAAGAGAAGGTATTTCGTTGAACGGCCTTTAGCTTTGATTATGGCATGCATTCTCTGTGGCATTGTTTCGATAAGCTTCTGCAACGTCACAAGATCTATTTCCATCCAGTGTTGCATTAATTTTTCACCAAGATCCTGCATTGATGACTAGACACTAGGCATGATGGGTGCATCACTTCACCTGCCTCTGTTCTTACCCTGATGCACCCATCACTCTGGAACAGGGTAAATCTGGACTCATCAGACCACATGACCTTCTTCCATTGCTCCAGAGTCCAATCTTTATGCTCCCTAGCAAATTGAAGCCTATTTTTCCAGTTAGCCTCACTGATGAGTGGCTTTCTTACGGCTACACAGCTGTTCAGTCCCAATTCCTTGAGTTCCCTTCACATTGTTCATGTGGAAATGTTCTTACTTTCACTATTAAACACAGCCCTGAGTGCTATTGTTGTTTTTCTTCTATTTGATTTCACCAAACGTTTAAGTGATCGCCGATCACGATCATTCAGGATTTTTTACAGCCACATTTCTTCCTCGAAGACGATGGGTCCCCACTATCCTTCCAGTTTTTAATAACGTTGGACAGTTCTTAACTCAATTTTAGTAGTTTCTGCAATCTCCTTAGATGTTTTCTGTGCTTGATGCATGCCAGTGATTTGACCCTTCTCAAACAGACTGACGTCTTGTTCACGACCACGCCATGTGTCTTTCAACGTGGTTGTTTAAGAAATGAGAAGCAACTCGTTGCACCAGTTGGGGTTAAATAACTTGTTGCCAGCTGAAAGATGCATGCGTAATTATCTAATTGGAGGCTCGTACCTATTTGCTTAGTTAAATCCAGGTGTCACTTTTATTTTTATTTTTTGGCCAGGCAGTGGATGTTGCCTTTATGTGCTGTGAATATTTTTGATAACATCTAAAAAGAATCGAGTGTCACCCTTTTACAAACTCAATAAACCAAATGTAACATGCAAACTCTTTCATTCCCCTCTCCACCCTCCACAGAATTATTTCTTAATAACATCCTCCCTTATATTCCTCTCGTGTTTTCACACTCTGCAACTTGAACTCCAGTTTCCTATACCAATTTGTTTGGGTCATGTTTGTAGCAACATGCGAGCACACTAAATTACCCGAGTCAAACAGACAGCCAGCAGACAAGAATGCACGATTAGGCCCAATAAATTACAGGTCTGCTAATGTGTGCTTTAAGCACTTTGAGTCTAAAATGACTTATCTCCGTGCAGAGTTTAACGAGATTCTGTAGCTTGAAGAATTCTGAGCTGCACAGAAAGCAGTCCAGCTATGGCTTTTCTTTTATAATTTAGACTGTTGGAAGAGATGTGGGAAAACCTTGCATCAGCAGACAGGTTAACGAATGTTGATGTCATATTGTTAATGGAGCTTTTATTCTCTCAGCTCCTCCCATTTGAATGGGTTCATTTTTATTTTATTTATTTCAGTTACTGTCTGCAGATTGTTCTCCTCAAGCTGTGTTTTATTCTGCACTGCAGATTGACAGGAATGACAGCACTGAGAGAACAAAAAAAAAATCAGTCCCCGTTGTGCATGAGTAGAGAGGCGTGTACAAGCACTCGTATCACAAGATGTTTAGTGTTGTTGTGGACGGCTGGGCATGGTTTGGTAACCTGTAAAAAAGAGAAAGTCTCTGTGGAGATGAGAGTTTTTCATGCTGCAATTTGTTAGCAGAGTGCAGCATAAACTTCATATAGCCTAAACATAAAACACTGGAGAAACAAATGCAACTAGAGAAACTGCATTTCCTGCAAAAATGCAGTGTGAATGCTTATTGCAGAAGAAATAGCTGAAAAACAGCTGAAATTACCTAAAAACATGGTGAAATGTAGCTGAAATGAAAGAACAGGCCTACATTAGCAGAAGAAAGCAGAAAGAGCACAGATTTACTGAATTTGGTTTAAATAAGCAGAAATGAGCACCAAAATTAGGAAAAAAAAAAAAAAGCTGAAAAGCAGCTTAAAAAGCAGAGAGAAGCTTAAATTACCAGAGGTGGAGAAAACACATTTTTGCTGAATTAGGCTGAAACATTTTGAACGGTGTGCAAAACATGGAGAATTAGCTAAAATAACAAAAAAAAAAAAGCTAAAACAGCTAAATAGTGGCTGAAATAACGGAAACTAGCAGAATTTGGCTGAAAGGAGCATGACAAGCTGAACTTAGCAGAAATATGTTAATTAGGCTGAAGGTATCAGAAAAGTGAACAAATCTTGAATTTATCAGAAAACAGCTGCAAGCTTCAAAATGCTAAAAAGTTAGCTAAAAGGGTAGAACAAGCAAAATTAATTAGCAGAAGAAAGCAGAAAGAATATATGTTTGCCCAATTAGGCCGAAAGAAGCAGAAATTTGCATAAATAAGGGTAAATTATTTGTAAAAAGCTGAAATTTGCACACACACACAAAAAAAAAAACCCTGCTGAAAAGTAGCTAAAAAAGGCAGAAAGAAGCTTAAATTACCAGAAAGAAGTGGAGAGAGCACATTTTTACTGAATTATTCAGAATTTTTTAATGAGTGCAAATCATGTGGAATTAGCTGAAAAAGCTAAAAATGTGCTTAATAACAGATAAATAGTAGCTGAAATAGCAGAAAAAGCTGAAACTTGCAGAAATAAGCTGAAAGGAGCATAGCGAGCTGACATTGGCAGAACAAAGTTAGAAGAAACACAAAAAGGTTTAAGTTAGCAGCAGAAAGAAGCTGAAAGGAGCACAAAACAGGTGAAAAAAATGGCTGAAAGTAGCTGAAAATAGCTGAAAGTAGCTGAAAAATGTTTACATTTGCAGAAGGAAGCTGAAAGAATCGAAACCAAAACAAAATGTGAAAAGGATGTAAAATGAGGTTGTCATTTTCTACAAGAAAAAATGGCAGAAAAGGCTAAATATTTCAAAAAGCTAAAGTTAAACCAATGCCAAAAGTCATAGCACCCTTCTCCTGAAATAGCTGAATGTTTTGATATATGATTTGCTGAAATAGCTTGAAAACTGCAGGACAAGAATTACTCCGAAAAATGTACGGAAGAAAAATAGATCACAATAGTGTGAATGCTTCACAAACATTCACAGGATAAATAGTTTTGAGTGAGTTTGCCTAAAAGGTTATTGCAAATTGTAAAATAAAACAAAAAATATTTTTTATCCTGAATTGTATCAAATGGTGCAGTTTGAAAAATAAAGTACTCCAATAGTTTTCTAGCTATATTATAAGGCAATTCTGAAATTAGGGCACACACTCAAAGTAAACAAAGCACGTGGATGAGTTTGCTTGAAGTTTTAGTCAAATGAGTGACATGCATTAAGACAGACATATGTTATGCAGGTGAACAAACATGGGGGATCACATTAGAATCAAGAAGACATTTAGGTTAAAATATGAGTGAATCTGCTGCTAAATATCCAAAAAAAAAAAAAAAAAAAGGGAAGACAATGCTCAAAAATAAATCAAGCAGAAAGGTAAAGTGCCATATTTTATTATCAAGTTTATTTTTTTTACCATTCTACTTGAGAATTGTTTTAGTTTCTAACATAAACAACATTAGTATGGTGTCAATACTTGACTTTCCATTATAATTAAGGTAAAACTTGAAAAGTCTAGACATGGATTTTAAATATAGCTTGAAGACATTCTTGAAATTCTGTTTAAACGTGTGTTGCTTTTTAGGAGTGTTGAGTCTGGCTTGGTATGGCTTTAGGTT